GGATCAACCGTGCTGTCACAGGCTGGGGCTGACATTTCGTCCACCCATGCTGATATTTCAGAAGGCTGCTTTAATGCACAGGTAACCAGCTGGGCTTAAGAGGTTGTTCACCAGGAATATCATTTATGCATTTACTTAAACTCAGCAGAGAATTTTGCTCGGTGGCCCACAGCAGTATGAAATAGGGTTGCCATCTCAATAGACCCTGGAAGCTAAGCAGTCTGAGATGGATGCAAATGACTTTGGACTACAGCTGAATGAAAGCAGATTTATCCATCTTTCCCAAAACCCTAAGATCTGCCCTGCCTTGAAAACATTGTCACTTTAACCCAGAATTTGCTCTGCCATAGAACATAAGAGTTTCCTTAAAAACGTTCAGATAAGGGGCTCGATTTGACCATTTCCAGATGGCAGTGCTGGCCTCAGTGCAACCAGTGCAGGGGTGCAGGCACAACAGCTTCTAACCATGGCAGCCATCAGAGACACACGGTGCTCACAGTTAGCAGTTAAACCGGCCCCAAATCAAGTATTGCAATGGAAGACCTCCAAGAAGGACCACTGCTATTCAGCCAAAGGTCTGATTTTGCAGAAAGTGCATATTTTACCAGAAATCCATTTTGCTGACCATCTCCCTGCACAGTCAGCTGCAGAGTCAGCTGTCTCCTGTGGAAGCCCATGCCAGGCAGCAGCAGGGGCTGTTCCCAAGGCAAGTCCCCAGGAGCTGTGGGTGACCCAGCAGAGGGGTTTCCCTCCCTGTATAGACACAAAGTGTGGGATTTCCATTTGCTTTCCCCAACCTACCCCCATAAAGCTCTCCCTTTCCCTTCCTTCCTGCCTGGTTATTTGCCTCTAGTCCATGACCTCACCAGGTCTCATTAAATGCTGTCCTGTAGGTGATGTTGGGTACATCTTTCTCAGCCTTCCTTTAACTTTTTTCTTTGTTCCGTCTTCATCTTTCTTCAAACCCCAGTGGAAAAAAAATCTCTCTCTTCTCCCTTGTCTATTTTTCTTAAATAATAAATACTAGCAGAAGAGAGAACAATTGACTGGAGAGCTCTATTATCTAACTCTGTGAGGTGTCTGGGAATAAGGTTGGGATGCACAATGTGCTGCCTAAACCCTATCTGTGGAGACAATATTAGTCCCGGGGCCTCTGGATGGAAGACGAACTTGGGTTTTACAGGCCTGGACATCTTTATTATTCAGCACGATGATGCTAACCATCATCACCCGGCAGGAGGCATGTAGCAAACGCCAGGAATACGAATGAGCAGAGAAACCTGCCTGGAAGCCTCCACTCTGCACACAGAATGGACGTCAAGCCGTTTAGGGGAACCTTCATCACTAATAAATGTTTTCTCCACCATCCTAGAGCTGTCTTCTTGGATTATTTTACACATAATGAAGAGCCAAGGTTCATTTTAACGTTTGGTGCCTGTTAGCCAAATTTTCCCTCCCCACCTCTTTGGGTGATTAAACATTTATCGTTTGTAATGTACCGCTCCCATTCCGCTATGTCTCTCTTTGTAGCGGGGCTCCTTCATTTACTGAGAAAATGACCTGAGTGACTGTGAAAGAAGATCTAAGAGGCGCTGAAACGTGGCCAGATGGAGATGGAGCAGCTGGGGAGAATGAAGTTATGGGAGACGCAGAGTTGCCAAGGAGGGGAGCACGGTGGTGTGTATGTGTGCACACGCACGCATGTTAGTCTGGCTCTTTGCCTTCTCTCAGTAAATCTAATCCACAATTTGAAATAATTCATTCAGTAGAATAACAAAAATAGGAATTGAGTGCCAGAGTGGCATTATATGTGCAGCCCGGCTTGCTTTCCCTCAACCCAGCCCCCACGGCTGCTTTGTTTGCTTCCTTGCAGCTGCTGCTCTGGTTTAATTTACTGAGATGCCATTAGTTGGGAGATGGAAGCAAAAACTTACCAGCCAGTCTGCACTGGTTTTTGGAATCACAGCTTTGCTTTTTCCTTCCTTTGCTGTGTATTTGCAGCCAGGATTGGGTTGTTGCTATTCATCCTGTGCAGGCTGCAGCTTCACAGACATCACAAACTTATGCCGCTGAGTTGGAGAAACACGGGAGAGTACTGCAAGAGAGCATCATGGAGCAGAGTTGGGGGTCAGCAAGGCAAATCACAGATCTGGGCTCCGGTATGGGTACTGCAGATCAGAGGAGATGTGTAGGAGCAGCTAGGAGCAAAGAAGTTCTCACTGCCCACATGCTGGCCACATAAGCCTGACATCATCTCGGCTGGCCAGGGCCACAGTGCTGCCCTGTGAAAGCAAAAGGAAAAGCACAGCAATGTCTGCAGTGCACAGGTGAGTCTCGAATACTGTTGCAGGGCATCCCAGTGCGTGCTGTGGTCAGTGCAGCATGGGGCAGGACACAGCATCTCTCCAGCATATATTTAGTCATTTCAAATCTACTCCTGTTGCTCCATACCAGCTACATTGCTCTCTTTTCCTTCTTTCATAACCAGTAAAGACGAACCCCCCAAATCTCTACTTTCCTGTTGTTTTTTTCGCCTCAAAGTCCTAAGTTTGTCTCCAGTTTTTCCCAGGCAGCTCCGTGGATGGTCTGAGGACTGGGATACATGGTGTGTCATTGGGTTACCAGGAGAATAAAGACAGAACAGCTGGGCAAAGACAAATCGAGCAGGCAGGAGAGCCTAAAACCTCAGCTTTCCATTACGATTTTTCTCCACTCTGTGGAAAAGATGCAGGGGAACCTCTCCCCCTCTCCCCTGCTGGTAGGGGGATACAAGCTGGGATCCCCACTCCCATCCATCCTGCCTCATGGGATGCTCACATCTGGCTGCGTTGCACTCATGCAGATGCACACCCACACACACCCACAATGCGGGGAAGGAGTTGTTTCAGAAACCAACAAGATGAACAATTATCTCCTCTGCAAAGCAACAAGACCACTTCTCCACTCCCCAGCCTTGTCCCAGCAATCTAATAAAAAGGGAGATTAGCCCCTCTTACATCTCCTTAATGCCGTCATTTTATTCACACTTTGCAAAGCAAATAAACCAGCAAATTGCTTGCTTTAATGAGCTGAAATTAAACTCGGGCTGCTGATAAAATGTCTTTCCTCCTTTCTGTTGTTAGAAAGGACTTGTCTGATAGGCAGTATACAGGAAAGAAAACACACAGCGGGAGCCTTATTGAATGTGTTTGAGTCACGGTCATTCTTCCTCATCCCAGACACCTCCAATTAGATGAAAGAAGCACATGGATGTTGAGAAGGCCATGAGGGCCAGCCTGGCAAAGTCCATGGAAGGTCTTGTCTCTGCTCTTTGCTCACAGGATGGTCCTGGTCCATTAGCTCATGCCTTCCAATGGGCTGCGGGCTGTAGTTTCCCCAGCGACACAACATGGAAAAGGCTGGTTTGTCTTTGCGGAGCAATTTCAAACACCAGCTTGGAAAGACAGCTGTTGGTTGAGTCAAAATGGGAGTTAGAAGGGACGGAATGAGTGCCTCCTGAAGAGAATATGACAAGATGCCAAGAAAGCACTATCCTCAGGGGACAACTGTGGCAATCTATTTCTGATAGCTTAATAGGCCAGGACTACCCATCTCTGCCCTTCTCCAGCATCTTTACAGGCAACATTCACCTCATGGGATGTAGTCAGAGGAGCTGGAGACCAGGCTGGTCCCTGTGGCAGAGAACAATGGAAACATCCAGAGCTCTTCTCCCAGCTGGAGGGAGCAATGCATCTGCTGGGACTTCCATCCCAGCAAGAGGAACTTGGGGCACTCTCATTCAGTCTCCTGCAGTCCTGTGATGCATCATCGTTATCTCATTGTACCAAAGAGGAGATTGGAGAGCAGCGAGATTAACTTCGTTGCCCAGTTCTGGGAGGGATGTGATGGCAGATGGCTCTCAGCCCAGCACTGCTGCCCATATCTCCCCATCAGTGAGGTAAACAGTCCTCCTCTCCTTCCTTGCTGGCTCCAAGCATTTGAAGCTGATGCAAGAGCTGATGTGAGAGCTGGTATTGCCAGTCATGTAATGGAAATTCAATCATGCTGCCATGTTTCCAATGGATATTTATATTTAGTGGAAAAATGCAGGAATAATTCAATGGAAAATGTGAGCCAGGAATGAGTTTTTCATTGGTAAGTGAGGTTGCTGGCCTCATGGGCTTCTTTCCTCATTGTTGCATTTCCAGTGAAGATTCTTCCAAGTTCTCCAGTGGCTGTTCTTGTCTGGGGAGGGAAGGTCTTGTCTCTTCTTTTGCAAATATCCACGTTATACAGTGAAAGCTTGAGGGTCCTCCACAACTCTGCATTATTTTACTGAGGAGGGAGAGAGAGGTCCTGAAGACAGGCAATAAGCCCCAACAGTGGACAAAGAAATGGGATGATGATCAATCAACTTACTGTGTCTTGTAGTCAAGCACTGTCCTGAAACTACCATTCAGGTTCCCTGAAACAGGTACAGGTGCTTGATGCTGGGCTTTATCCCAGATGCTACACAGCAATGCAGTCAGGAGGACACGGTGTCCTCAATCAGCATCCCCCTCTGTGGGCACTGCTACTGCACACACCAGCATGCGAGACAGTCAGGATTCCCCTTAGCAAAACATTGCAGCATCAAATCTACATCAGAGTGAGTTGTCTAGACTTCATCTGCTCTCAGCAGAGAGGAACAGACACTTCTGGGGCACCACTCCTCTCCTCTGAAGGTAGACACTTAAATAGGTCAGACGAATGTTGCCCTGGATGCACGTTGTTCTCTCCTCTGCCTAAAATGTAACACTGGACAATGCACTCAAAGGAGGATGATGTCTGCAGGTGATGGCTACCTGCCTTAGTGATGCCAAGCCACTCGCTGTTGGCTGTGCCCAAATTAGCAAAAGGCCACTGGCATGCTGGCAGCCAGATTTAGAAGGCAAGCACCTAACATTACAGAAGGTAGTTGGGTGCACGGCTAAGCATGAATTGTCTGTCCTCATGTTTAGCTTGTGTTTTGTTTTGAACAGGTGAACTGAGGAACCAAGCAAGGACAGCCAGCCCCACGGAGGCACGTGGAGATGGGGACCAGCATCACGATGGGCAGCAGAAAGAGAACAAGGAGACATACTATAAAAAATGAGAGGAAGGCTTGTCTCTGAGCCAAAGATACTCCTCGGCACGGGCATCCAAATTCATGACTCCCTCCCCGAGATGCCAGAGACCTGGTGATGCAGGACCAACCTCAGCCACTCAGGCCTTGAGAGCAGCCCCCGGCCGGTGGCTGCTGAGCCCCTTGGGCACCAAGGTCCACATTCACCACGGACACTTCCCCCCGCAGCTCCAAGCCATGAGGAGAAGAGAGAGAAGAACGAAGCTGCTGAAGGAGCTCTAACCCACGTCTTCCCGGCCCCTGCCTCTCCCCCTGCTTCCAGCAGACCAGAAACCCCTTCTCCATGCCACCCTTCCAGATGGCAGGTCGCCGGTGGGCTGCGACGTCAGCCTTCTGCATGTGCGTGGCAGCCGTCTCTCTCCTGCACACTGGTGGGGTGCGGGCAGACTGCTGGCTCATCGAGGGGGACAAGGGTTTTGTCTGGCTGGCCATCTGCAGCCAAAACCAGCCCCCCTACGAGTCCATCCCCCAGCAAATCAACAGCACCATCGTGGACTTGCGGCTGAACGACAACAAGATCAAGAGCGTGCAGTACGCGTCGCTCAGCCGCTTCGGCAACCTGACATACCTCAACCTGACGAAGAACGAGATCTCCTACATCGAGGACGGTGCCTTTTCAGGACAGTTCAACCTCCAGGTGCTGCAGCTGGGTTACAACCGCCTGAGGAACCTCACCGAGGGCATCCTCCGGGGCCTGGGGAAGCTGGAGTACCTCTATCTCCAGGCCAACCTCATCGAGTCTGTCACCCCCAATGCCTTCTGGGAGTGTCCCAACATAGTGAACATTGACCTGTCCATGAACAGGATCCAGAGACTTGACAGCAACACTTTTAGGGGCTTAAACAAGCTCTCTGTCTGTGAACTCTACAGCAACCCCTTCTACTGCTCCTGCGAGCTCCTTGGCTTCCTGCAATGGCTGGAGGCCTTCACCAACATGACACGCACGTACGACCGGATGCAGTGCGACTCCCCACCAGACTACACGGGCTACTACTTGTTAGGTCAAGGCCGGACTGGCTACCGCAATGCTCTGAGCATGCTCTCTTCCCTTTGCACCGGTGGTTCCTACACTGTGATCCCTCGTTTTATCCCTCCCCGCTACCAAGTGACCACAGTGCCCTCTGAAAGCCCGTGCTCCGAGGAGGAGTGCTCCTCTGGTGATGGCACCACCCCACAGTTCTCCCTCTTCACGCCCATCGGTGAGACAGAGGTGCGGCCAAACATCCAGGTAAAGCACCTCAACCACAACTCGGCCGTCCTCACCGTGCAGATCCCCTACCCCTTCAGCAAGATGTATATCCTCTCCCAGTTTGAAAACGGCTTCTCCTCCATGATCACCAAGCTCAGGAAGAAGGAGGAGAACATCACCGTGAGCAACCTAGTAGCACAAAGAGATTACACCTACTGTGTGGTCTCCGTCCACCAATACTCCAAGTACAACCACACCTGCGTCACCATCACGCCCACCAGACCCAACCGCAAGGAGCCGGTGCCCACTCCTTCCACTGCCACTCATTATATCATGACAATCCTGGGCTGTCTCTTTGGCATGGTGATCGTCCTGGGCGTTGTCTATTACTGTCTCCGAAAGAGACGCCAGCAGGAGGAGAAGCACAAAAAGGCTGCCAGCGGCATGAAGAAGACCATTATTGAGCTGAAGTACGGGCCAGAAATGGAGACCACCAGCATCACCCAGCTGTCCCAGGGACAGATGCTGGGTGGGGAGACTGTGACCCGCATCCCCTACCTGCCTTCTGCTGGTGAGGTCGAGCAGTACAAGCTCATTGACAGCAGTGAGACCCCCAAGGCCACCAAGGGCAACTACATGGAGGTGAGGACGGGGGAGCAGCCTGAGAGGAGAGACTGCGAGCTGTCCCTGGCACCAGACACCCAGAGCTCCGTGGCTGAGATCTCCACCATTGCCAAGGAGGTGGACAAGGTGAACCAGATAATCAACAATTGCATCGATGCCTTGAAATCTGAGTCCACTTCCTTCCAAGGGGTGAAATCGGGGGCAGTCTCCACAGTGGAGCCTCAGCTGGTGCTTTTATCAGAGCAGATCCCCAGCAAGCACGGATTCCTCTCCCCTGTCTACAAGGAAAGCTACAACCACCCCCTCCAGCGACACCACAGCATGGAGGCAGCCCCCAAACGCTCCAGCACTTCTTCCAGTGGCTCCATACGGAGCCCCAGGTCGTACCGCTCCGAGGGATCGGGCCACAAATCAGAAGCCAAATACATCGAGAAGACGTCCCCCACCACCGACACCATCCTCACTGTGACACCGGCTGCGGCCATCCTGCGGGCAGAGGCGGAGAAGATCCGGCAGTACAGCGAACACCGGCACTCGTACCCTGGCTCGCACCAAGGGGAGCAGCACGACAGCATGGCGGGGCGAAAGCCTTCCATCCTGGAGCCTCTGACCCGGCCTCGTCCCAGAGACCTGGCCTATTCCCAGCTCTCGCCGCAATACCACAACCTGAGCTACACCTCCAGCCCAGAGTACACCTGCAAACCATCGCACAGCATCTGGGAACGCTTCAAACTCAACCGCAAGCGGCACAAAGACGAGGAGGAATATATGGCAGCCGGCCATGCCCTGCGCAAAAAGGTCCAGTTTGCCAAAGACGAGGATCTTCACGACATCTTAGACTACTGGAAGGGCGTCTCCGCCCAGCAAAAGTCCTGAGTCCTCACACAACTCGTGACTTAAAGTAACTGGACCAAAAGAAATCCGCAGCAGCTATTTTTATTCAGACTGTCTTTGAAACAAACAAACAAAAATAACGATCATAAATCCATAAAAATAGAGAACAAATTATGAAAAATCTATAAATATTCTATATAATATATAAAGCGAGATATTCAAATGCCCTCACGTTGGTGAGACACACACCAAATTTGAACACAAACTTTACAAAACAAACTGTGGAGTGAAAAAAAAAAAAAAAAAAAAAAAGTTTTGATTCTGATTTTTAAAAAAAAGAAAAAAAGAAAAAAAAAGAAAAAAATAAGAAAAAAAGAAAAAATCAAATATGAAAAGAAAAAGAAGGAGCGGGCAGAGAGCGGAGGTCTGGAGTTCCCCAGTACTGCATTGCATGAGTCCCTATTCCGTGATTTTGTGGATTCTTTGTGAACAGTTTGTGTTCTTTCTTCCTACCCTTCCAAAAATCAACAGCAACAAAAACAGCAACAAAAACCAAAAAGAGACCAGAAGGAGATCCGTCCTTTGGGCTGTTTTTGCAAACGGAGTCTTCCAGTTTAGACTTCCACCCGCTTGAAGGCCCGTTCACATTTTCACTCACTGAGAGGTTTTACCACACATTGCATTGTAAACCGAAGTCGTTAATTGTACAGAGAAAATTTCTATATTTGCAATGTTTGCTGTATAATGAGAAAGAGAGAGGAGAAAAAAAAAAACAATACTACATCTACTAAAAAAAATATATATATATATATCTATATTCACATGTTTGTACCAGGTTTTAATCATGGATTTTAGAGAAAGAGATGGAGTTTGGATTGAAGGACTTTTTTTGTTGGTTGGTTGGTGATTGGTTCGTTGGTTGGTTGATGGAGGAGATATTTGGGTGGGGGGAGGGATTATTTGGGTTTCTCTGTGGTTTTGGTTTCTCCCAACTACTGTCTGTGTCCAAGTTCTGATCACTTTCAATTGCATGTACCCAAGAAAAGCAAACCAGCCGTGCCATCCCAGGTGGGACACTGTCACTGCTGGGAATGGTGGGAACAGGAAAGGGGGTGAGAAGGGAAAGGCTCTTTGTTGAGCAGGTGCCAACAAGACATGGGATTTCTCCTGAAAATCAGAAGGTATCAGTAATCTCTTCTCACAGTATAGGGAGGTGGTGCAGAAATCCTCCTGCTGCTGTCCAGAGGAGGACAGCATTGAGGAATGGTTTTGCCAATGGAGAAGATGTGAAGCATTTACAGATTCTCCAGATTGAAAACAACAACAGTGGGCCTGGGGGCCCTGCATCACTCTCTTGAGACTGCCAGCACCCAACGCACAGGGATTTCCCCACAGATAACCCCAACTTACAGCAGCATTGGGCAGAGAGCACAGCACCTCCTGCCTGCAGCCCTGGCATTGCCCACAGGCCAGCTGGGCTCCCACTGCTGTGAGTGGCTTTGGAGATGGGCACCCTGGGGTCTCCAAGGCTGGAGAGAAGAGGACGGTGCTCCAGGACCTGTGTCCACCCAAGCAGCTATATTCCCTTCAACCACTGCTGTACAATGCCTGTCTGGGCCTCAACAGCATTTTGCCCCATCTCTAAAATGCACATTGACAATGCCCTACTCACTCAGTGTGGTGGAAGGAGGGATGCATTCACACCATGATGCAGAGGGACATTGCTTTGCCCTGAATGTCTCCAGCTGTGTGGCAAAACCCCATGCCTCATCCACAGCTGATGCCGAGAGGGGCCAGATTAGGACCAGGGAGCACTTTGCTCCCCTCAGTGAGCGCATGGGATCCCAGCAAGGAAGCCCAGCAAGGTGACAAACATCCCAAACACAGCCCTTCAGAGCTCTGCTGCTTCCCGGGGCCTTTCCATTGCATCCTGCTCACAAGTCTCTTTGGATGGAATTCCTTAGTCCTGACAAACGAGCACTAGGGCCCAGCAGCAAACTACATCCCATCCTGTTATTTCAATATTTCAAAGTGATTTTGACAGGTATTCTTACAAAAGGTTATGTTTGTTCAGAAATGAGCTGAGCTGGGAAGACACGGAGCAGGCTGGGAAGCGCGCGAGTTCGTTCCCCATGGTTATTTGTGTAGACAACAACCCATTAGCCGGGTTTCATAATAAAAAGCAGGCAATTTCTCCAGGAATACATTCACTCTGACACATTTCTCCTCCTCCTCCAGGTGCATGACATCCTCCCCACAGCGTGCAGTCTGTGAGCAGGATGTGGAAAGGAGCTGAGCATCACCCCTCCATTGTCCCATGATGCCACAAGTCAGTCCCCAAATCCCAGCTGTGCCAAAGCAAAACCTGCAGCCTCAAACAGCTTCCTTTGGAAGCCCTCAGTGCCTCCTGGAGGAGCAGGAGGTCAGCAAGAAAGGGTCCTGTACACAGTGGCAGGGTTCCCTGTACCCAGGGGAGTCATTTTGCCCCTCTCTGCCTCTATTTTCTCCTCTGCTCACTTTCTTGTGGTGCTGAGGGCACAGGCTGGTGGGGGAGGCTCAATTAATTAATTGCCTGTCTGTGAAGCCTGTTTAGCTCCTAGAATAAAAGCTGTTATAGGAAAGCAAAGTTGTTAATGGCATAAAACAGCAGGGGCAGATGAAATCAAAGCCCAATTCTGTTTTCACACCAGGATTTCTCTGGTCACAAACCAACAGAGACCAATGCGGGATATGTGATACAGCAGCACCGGCCTTTCAAAATTAAACACTTCCCAGATGCAAACTGCAGCTAGAGAAAAAGAGGATTAGAAAATATCCACGTTATTCTGGCTCTGAGGGGAAGTACCTCCATATGCAGAGCCCTTTGCAGTGGAGAATGCCGTGGAGCTTGGGGGGCCCCTCAAGTGAGGGATGCAGTGGCCATGCTGCAGAGCACACTCCAGTCTTATGCCTCCGTGACACAGTACAGCCTTGGCAGCCCCAGTCTGCATCCCTCAGAGGCCGAGGGATGAACTGAAATAAGCCAGGCAAGAAATGAGAAGGAGTCCAAGTACACCCAAAGCCACTGTCCTATGCAGGAACTGCCTTGGGTTCTGCAGGATGGGGCCTGGGAAGCTCTGTTTATGGCATTCCTCATTCCCCAGAGGCACATACTTTACAGATTGCTCTGAAAGCACAGGGAAAATGTCACCACCTGCAGATGTTGGGTGCTTTTCTTGTTTTGCCTTCTGTTCAACTGCTGTAGCTCTCCAGCTGCTTCTACAGATGACGCCCTGCTTGGCCAAGGCACTGCCCCAGTGCCATCCAAAGAAACTGGAGGGCTCCTCGCCAAGCAGAAAGGAGAGGCACAATGTCAGAGTGCAGAGGAAGGGAGGCCAAGGGAAAGCCTTCTCTGTCCTTGGGGGAGCAGAGAGCTGGCAGCCGGCACAGAACACGATCACACTGCTGGTGACAGCACCAAGGGCACAAAGGTCTCCATCCCAACCTCTGTCAGCCTGGGCTCTGCCACGGCAGAGAGCAAAGGGAAGGGACAGAAAGGGAGGCAGAGGGCTGAAGGGCAGCGAGAGGCGATCCAGGCAGGAGCAGCTATGCAGGCGGCAGCCCTGGAGAGGCCAACCATGGCATGGAGCAGAGCTGCATGGAGAGGGGTTTTGTGAGAGCAAGCTGTTGCTTCCCTGCAGCGATGAGACAGAGAAAAGGAGCCGAGAGATCTGTTGCCTCTTCTGTTCTGAGTCACTCCTAGAAATCTCCTCTCCGGCCAGAGCTCACAGTTCCACCACCACTTCCCAGGGTTTCTGCTTCCCCAAAGCTCTTCTGGTGCCCACACGTCCCTGCTCTCTGCTCTTTCCTGTTACACTTCAGTTCCCATCCTATTGCCTCCTCTCAGCCCACCCTATACCTACAGCCATCATATGGAACTCCCTCTCCACAAGGGCTTTGCTGCTCCCTGTAGGACAATGCTGACAGCCCCAGGGCCATAAACAAATGTATGCTGCAGATGCCTTTTCCATGTCCACAAAATTGTTGTGAATGGGTCCTGTCTAGAGATAAGTGTTCCTTACGGGAGCTGGCACTGCTGCCAGCCAATGCCCCAAGGCCCAGAAGGCACTGAAGCTGCCTTCACCTTGGCTTGAAGCACTTGGGCTTCACTTGGATTAACTCATGTCCCTCTTTTTCACGTCTCCTTTGTATCATTGTGCTCTTGGCCAGACCACTACCAGAAGGTTGGTAGGAGTTACCCAGATGTTACCTTGAGAGCTTTGCAGCAGCCACACGGTGTCCTCCATGGGTTCATCAGAAAGCAGGAGACCCTCAGCCCTGCACAGAGCCCAGCTCACTGACCCTTGGGCACTGCAAATGTAGAGCTTCATCACACCAGTGATTTTATCAGGAATTGAATTCATTCACTGCAAATAAGTCCAGGAAAAGCACCCGCGCTCATTCCCACTTCTCACCAGCACTTAACAAAGTGGAACTGTCTGATCCAGAGTCCACTTTTCTGGACACAGTTTCCTCTGTGCAAGAAGGAGACACAGAAGTATTGGAATGGGCATTTTCACCACCAAGTAGGATGCCAGTTTTCTCTTGTTTTCTACCCTTAGTTTTGGCACGAATGAGACAGCAAAGAGCCCATTTCCCACCCTCTGCAACTCCTCTGTCACTGCAGAGCAATCTGAAGAGCCTGCCAAGTCTCTGGCTTTGCATGTGTCTGACTATTTAATAACTCAATGGGAACGTGAGTGACATGGGTGCACTGCTGCTCCTCCAGGTGCTCATCACTTCTTGCCCACCACCACCACCTCTTTTTTCACACAAAGCTTGGCCAACTGCAAATAGCCATTTGCTGCTCACCTTTACTCGCCTTGCCATTAAGGAGCTCATTAATGTACTCCATCCTTGCATTCTCTGAGACTAAAAGATTTCCATTTCTCTCTTTTAGCAGCTTTCTCGTGGTTTATATCCTCTCCCCTCCTCATCGGGCAGTGCTCTTTTCTAATAAGCTCTCCTCTCCTGGTCCATCTTTTCCATTAAGCTGCACAAGTGCTGTCCCTGAGCTGTGTTGCTCATCAGAGGGCTCTCTTCTGACCCCATCATGTTCTTCAGTGTTTTCAGCTGTGAAAAGAAGC